GTTTAGGCTTACAATTTAAAAAAAAAACAGGCTCTATATTTAGACTATTTTACTTAATATATACTCCGTATTAAATTTCTATGAATATCCATCTTGATAAGATTATATTAAACATTTAAAATCGGGTTCATAGCAATTATATTTACTCGAGATGCTTATGTAGAAGATCAATTTAACTATTTTTCATATAATCTTTTTCTGGCTTCACAAATGGAATATATTTTACACATTTTTTCATGATTCCGCTCATTTAGCTCATTCAGTCATAATTTAATCAATTTGAGTAAAATAAGTTAATTCAATTTATTTTAATATTATCAAACAGGCTCTATATTAGACTAAGTTTTTTTTCTTTTAAATCACATTACATATGATCCAAAAGAAATCAAATTTCAAATTAGCTAAATTACATCTGCCCGTGCATCGCACGGGCTTGAAAGCTAGTCTGATATACGTCATTACATATGCAGCATTCACGAGTCACAACCATAATAAATACTCCGTCTTGCATAAATGATAGTATGATACACAGGCCTGGACTCGGGCCGGTTCGGGCCCGGGCTGGCCTAGGCCCGGTCGGGCCTCCGGTCCTGGAATGGGGGCCCGGAACCGGCCCGTCCTTCGCCCGGTGCCGGTTCGGGCCGGGCCACCCGCCGGGTCGGGTCGGGCCTAGGTTATATATATATATATATATATATATATATATATATATATATATATATATATATATTACTTATTAATACAACTTAAATATGAAATACATTTTTCAAAAAATACTAATACAATAAATTCTAAGTTGTAAGTTGTAAGTTTGTAAACAATTAATTAATTAATTAATTTGAGAAGTGCTACATATAAAAAAAGAATGTATATTTATTTGAAATATGAACTACAACTTTACAAATTACAATAGAGAATTGAAGGAAAAATTAAAACATGAAATACATTTTATAATACATTGTAAAATACTAATCAATCGGAATCTCCGGCATAGGAGCCACCCTCGGTTGTTGATTCATCCATAAAGTCTTGGGAGGGGGTGATGCTAATTTCTTGACATCTACGTATGGCCTTCAACCAATCATGGTAGCATATAAGCGTCTCAAGAGACTCAGCGCTCAAACTCGTTCTAGATGCCGTTAGAATGTTGTCAGTCAAACTAAATTCTTATTCCACGGCAACTGTTGAAACCGGAATTGATAGCACTTGCTTAGCCATCCGTGCCAAAATCGGGAACATTCTTTCTTTTGACTTCCACCACTTTAGAACGTCAAACTCCTCATTTTCGTCAAATTCTACATCATAATTTATATACAAAGAAATCTCATTAAGTGCGCTTTGTTCAGTAGTGTGAGTTGTTTTAGGTTTTTTCATAAGATTGCCAAAAGCAGATTTAAAAAGTGATTTTCTTTAGATGAAGATGTGTGTGTCGGGGGAGGGGGCGCGTTGCCATATTTTGCACGAAACTCATTAAATAAGGCATAAAATAAATTACTAACCTCGTTGTATTCAACTTGCAGATCTATGGTGTTATCGTCATACATTGGAAATGGACAAAAAAAGCATTATAATAGAACTTCAAACATTCTTCCAAATTACCAAGTCTATAACGAGGATCGAGAATAAATGCAATACTATAAATATGCGGAATATGTGCATAATATTTTAAAAACTTTTCCTTCATAAAACCACAAAAATAACTCACGTAAGCATTCTCAAATTCATTAAAAGCACCGGCGAGATTAACAACTTCATGAATCAATTCGTTTGAGGTAGGTTTTTAAACATGACTAAAACTATCAGTTGCATTATTAAAATATATCAAAACATTACAAAATTTTTTCGCAAGTGTCGATGTGAGCGGAGTTTAAAATATATTTATCATATTGTCCTAAAAAAGCAGGAAAATGTTCTTTATATCTAAGAAGAACTTTAATAAATTTATAAGTACTATTCCACCGAATAGACAAGTCTTTAGGAAAAGCAACATATTTCACACCACACAATCAAATAATTTTGCCATTTTAATTTAAGTTGGCATGACCATTGCCCCAAATACGTCTAATCCCCCTTTGACTACCTCCATAGCATCTCCTAACGCTTTTAGACCGTCTTGCACACATAAATTTATAATATGGCATGCACATCGTTGATGAAAAAATCTATCCATCAAAGTATTAGAACCACACAATTCACGCAATCTAGGTATAACAGCAGTATTATTAGTAGCATTATCAAAACTTATAGCAAACACCTTATCAATCAAATTATACTCAGTTAAAATACGTTCAATCAAAATATAAATATGTTTAGCGGTGTGACGATCAGTAAATTCACGAAAAGCAAGAACACGTTTATGCAAATTCCAATCACTATCAATAAAATGTGTAGTCAGGCCCAAATAATGTAAATTATGATAAGTATCCTCTCAAATGTCAGAACAAATAGTTACACGGCCATCAAAGTTTTCAAAAAAAATTGTAACCTATCCTTTTCCGCACGATAAAGCCTTATAATTTCTTCCTTAACTGTTTTGCGACTATAACTTCTAAATTGAGGATTTAAACAAGTTTGTGCATAATCTTTAAAAGCAAGACTTTCAACAAACAAATAAGGCAAATTTTCTTCAACAAGTAAGTTAGCCATACCAGTCAAATTTTGTGCATCAGTGTATGAGAAATTGTCAAAAGGTTGGTCATTTGCAAACCTCAATATTTGAGTTTGCTTCCCCTTGCCTTTGTCTATTTTTGCATACTCCAAAGAGTGTGCGGACTTAAGATGCCTTTTGAGGCTCCCGTATTCGCCGGAAGTTCCCAAGCTATACTCCTTCTTGCAATGATCGCAACTTGCGTACCATTTATCAGTTTTTGGGTCTTTCCTCTTTGTGAAATTATTTTCTATAATAAGAGATTTAGATTTCTTACCAACTTCGGATGGACCGCCCTCGTCCTCCAACTCTTGCTCATCATCCGGGGTGCCGTGAGTCCCGTCGCCCCCCTCGTCCTCCTCCGCATCGTCATCCTTGAGCTCCTCTTCATCAATGGACTCCGTGATGTTTTGTTGTTGGAAAAAGCGACCATCATTTTGCGCCAATGGTTGTTGTAGTTGCTCGTCGGACATCGAATCCTCATCTCGCCTTTGGTATCCGTTATCAAAATCTTCTCGACTTTGAGAAGAAGAACCGGCCCGCCCTTTACCTTTGTCTTTGCGTAAACTAGGATGACTTGTCGCAATCTCCTTCCTTCGATTGCGTTGGAGATTACCCATATCTACGGAATGTCTACCACGGTCCATCTTTAAAATGCAACAAATATTATATGATATCAAATGTTTTAATATGAGTACAATAGTAATAATAAAATGCGACTAATAAAATTATAACAAATTTCCAAGAATCCACTTACTAATAAAATTAAGTAGTTTTAAACTTTTATGCAACAATTAACAAATAACTAGTTTTTTTTACTTTTATGAAAAAGCAACAATTAACAAATTAAATAATAGGGAAATGAAAAATGTAACAATTAACTACTTTTATACTTTAATGCAACAATTAATAATTAACTACTTGCATACTTTAATGAAAAATGTAACAATTAACTAGTTTTATGCTTTAATGAAAAATGTAACAGTTCACTAGTTTTATACTTTAATGAAAAATGTAACAATTAACTACTTTTATACTTTAATGAAAAATGTAACAATTAACTACTTTAATGAATTTAAGTGTAACTAATATAATTGTATAACTAATATATAATATAATGTTTATAGTATATACTTCGTAATATATAAATATATTACTATAAGATGAGTAATACACTTATATATAATACTTGAATACATATAAGTAAATAACAATAAATATAGATAATAAAGTAAATATTAAAAAGATGGAGATGTTTAAGTAGATAATAAGTATATATATATATATATATATATATATATATATTAAGTAGATAATAAATATTAGTAATATAATATAGGTAAATAACTAGATAATTAATATATAAGTAGATATAATAACTATATAAATAATATATATATGTAGAGAGGTTTGGAGAAGATGAAGATGGAGATGTATAAGTAGATAATAAGTATATATTAAGTAGATAATAAATATTAGTAATATAATATAGGTATATAAGTAGATTATTGTATAACTAATATGTAATATAATGTTTATAGTATATAATATATAGGTATATTACTATAAGATGATTAATACACTTATATATAATACTTTAATATATATATAAGTAGATAATAGGTAGAGATTAAGTAGATAAGGAATATAAGTAATATAATATATGTATGTAAAGTAGATAATTAATAATTTAATATATAAGTAAATAACAATAAGTATAGATGATAAGTAGATATTAAAGTAAATATTAAGAAGATAATAAATATATATTAAGCAGATAATAAATATTAGTAATGTAATATATGTATACATAAGTAGATAATTAATATATAAGTAGATATAATAATATATATAATATACATGTAGAGAGATTTGGAGAAGAAGAAGATGGAGATGATTAAGATTTAAGAGTATGAGGGAGTAGAGAATTAGAGAGTAGGAAGAGTTGGAGATTGGAGAAGAGGTGTAAAAAATGTATAGAAAATAGGAGTATAAATAAGTTTTTTTTATCCCCACCCCCACCCCCCCACCCCAAAACCCCTGGACCCCCCCTCCTACCCCCTCCAACGGCTATAGAGCCGTTTGGGTGGCCTCCCAATGGCTATAGAGCCTACACAATTGAAAAACAATAATAAAAAAAAAATTAAAATAATAGTCGTTAGGCCCGAACCGGGCCCGGCCCGGCCGGTTCGACATTTGAAGGCCCGAGCCCGAACCACATGTCTACCGGGCTGGGTCGACCCGAACCGCCCCCCGACCGGGCCGGTTCAAACAGTAACCGGGCCGGGCCGGTTCTAGGGCGGGCCGCCCGGCCCGAGTCCAGGCCTAATGATACACAGACCAAGCGTAATTCTTATGATGGATGGTTCAAATCCTCAACAAAAATAATCAATGTATAGTACCCAAACAATATTGAATAAAGTATATATACTACACCAATATACACTTAATACATATTCAATAACGTGTGTGAAAAAGATCAGAAGACGAATTATACACTGAACCAAAACTCAATACATATTCAATAACGTGTGTTAAAAAGATCAGAAGACAAATATACTCCAATAGAGTAATGGACAGGGGGACTGGGTATGACAGTGAACGTATGTGTAATGCTGTATGATCAGTCCCACGGACTTAGCCAGCACTCCTCAAGCTTAGTCGGATATCGGGTGGTGTCCGGACAGTAGTCATAGATCACAAGGTTCCTGAGCACCCAAGCGTAGTCAACCTGCTCATCAGCGGAGAGATGCCATGACTTGTACTGGTCCCACCAGTTCTGTGTTGTGGTGGAGACGCATTCAGGGTAGGGATCCTCCCACTGGCAAGCATCCACATTGTAGTCCTTGTAGGTTGACACGAACGGTGCATTTTTCCAGTCTGTCTTCTCCATACCGCCCCTTGTTGCCCAGTCATCAGCGTTCCATATGCTTGAGAACAAGTACATTGGCTTCTCAATGGGGAAGAAGTTGTTTGTGTAGTTTGCATTTTTGTATACTCTTATTGGAACCCTATCCACATAGAACCTGTTGATCATGAAAACAAGCTCATCAGGGTGTGTTTAGAAAGCTGAAAAATATTAGTTAGCCAATTTGCTACTATGTACATTGAAACATCTTTAACTCCCAAAGCTCTCATCCTTAACATTGACACATTGTCAGTCCTAACTACATGACTCAGAAGTCAGAACATTGTCACGCAATTCATTCTAGGTGTAACACTGTCACTCTTCCATTATATATAGCCTCTACAACATTGCCACCATATCACTTCGATCGCTATGATATATGTTGACACTTTTATAAGGCAAAAATGCCACAGAATGGATACGATAAGACATTCGTATTTAGGGATACAAAAACGACACTCCTACTGGGATGCAGAAGTTATATTTTACTCCTACATTGGAACTTTTCATAGTTTTACAGTCAAGCATAATCAGGATTTCTTTTTTATGACAAAGTTTGTTAAAATGTTTGATCTTTAAAACAAAATCACATGGAAGGTGATCCAATAATGGCTTATATGTATGGAAGTTGGGGCTAGTATTGATTGGCCTAAAGCATCCATCAGTATACCACTTTACCAAAACAGAAATATGTATGTGGTGCTTACACAATCATGTGTGGGTTCCAACGAATGGAATAGGTATGGAAGTCCTCGGTCGGGTCAAACCAGAGAACATGGCGCATCTCACGCCCGCCGGTGCCATTCTTGTACACATTGGTTTGTATGAGGTAAGGTTGCCCTGTTCTGTTCCCCAAGAACTCGAAATCCAGCTCATCTCTGCTGACCCATCCTGGCCCTTTATCATCAAATTCAGAACACATCTGCACCGTAAACAATCACCCGCCCCACCATTATTTGTTGTGTTCCAAAGTACCCATCTTTTCAAAAAAAAAAACAACTGGATTGAGTATCTAAATTTTTCAAAAGCACTGATTCTTCTGCATCTTATAGAAATAGTATTTATCCTATTTTTAAAAATATTTTATTAGCACAATAATACGTTTTTGTACATAAGTTAAAGCACACAAATTTGGAAACGACTCAACTCACATAAAAGGCTGTCACAACCCCAGCTGAGTCACCACCCACCAATTTCAGCTTCATGCTGAACCAACCAAATCTGTATCTATGCTTAGTAGCAAACCCACAACCTGTATCAAAAAATAAAATAATGTGACCCAGTACACTTTCCTACTCCGTCGTTATTTATTGATAGAAGTACTATTTTTTCCTTAAATTAGAATAAATTATTTATTTCTTAGTACGTTCTAAAACCTGAAATAGACATTTTTTAATTTCAGAAAGCAACGATCAAAAACAAAAATCAGAAAGCATGAACAGTTGAACATTATCTCTGCCTCTCTGGCATGTCTCTCTCTACCTAAAGAGTACAGTACAATATAAGAAGTAAAAATAACATTTTTGTAGCAATATTATTATACTACTATACTCCATTAGAACATGAAGCATGCTCGTAATAAATTACTACGTAAATTGTAAAGTCAGATCAGTAACGGTCAAACGGGTTTAATCAGATTTGATGAAATTTTAGCTGAATTTATTGAATTGAATATGGTGAATAATGAAAAAACTATAAGGAGTACTTTAAATAAAATACTCTCTCCGGTTCACAAAGATCTTTACACTTTGACTTCACAGTTTTAAGAAAATAAATTTTACTTTACTGTAGAGTACACTGTTTGGCACTGTTTAGCACTGTTTGACACTGTTTTGTGTAGATTTATTTGCCAAATAATAAATAAGGAAGTGTAAAGTTTAATACGGGACGATCCAAAAAGGAAAATGTAAAGATTAATGTACATCATTTACTGGTAAGTAAAAAAGGCAGTAATAGTTTAAAAAACAAATAATGTTAATTTTGTGGATAACTTATAATAATTTCATTAAATCGATACTTATTACTACCTCCGTTCTTTAATATTAGTCCCCTTAGGATTTGGAACGGGATTTAATAATAAAGTAGTAGGGTAAGTATAGAGTGTGTAGGGTAAATGATAAAGTAGGAAAGATGGTATATTAAAAAGAGTAAAATGATGATAAAGTAGGAAAAAGTGTGTATTAAGAAGAGTAAAGTGATGGTAAAGTAGGAAAGAGAAAGTAGTTTGTAAAAAGTAAGTGAGATAAAAGTAATAAAAATGGGGTATTTTCTCAAAAACTTTCTTTAAAGGGAAAGGAGACAAATAAAAAAAAAACTTCCCAAAAAAAGAAAGAAGGACTAATAAAAAAGAAGACGGAGGGAGTAGATTACTACTCCCTCCGTCCCGCTATGATTGTCTCATTTTACCTTTTCGGTCCGTCCCACTAATATTGTCTCATACCTTATTTGGTAAAATTTGTGTGATTCTAAAGCATTCTTACTTTATTTTTACTTTTATCAATTTAATATCAACCACATAAACCCACTTTTATTAATAATCGTGTCACCTTCTCTTGTCCCAAACTTAGGCGGACGGAGGTAGTAGAAGTTACAATTTACAAATTAAAGTAAATTAAGAAGTCTGCAATACATTAACATGCCATTTAGAGATAGGAAGTGTCCATTATTAATGTGTAAATAAATATATACAGAGTAATTGTAAATTGTCATGTTTCGTAAATGTAATGAGATCTGGGATATGAGTTAATGACATTTAAAAAGGGATTTGGAAATTTGCAATGATTGGTTAACTTTTAAAAAAAAAAATCAATTGTAATCGGCAAGGATGGATTCAAGATAACCTGCTTGTTTGTCTAGAGAGAGATACCAGATCTGGCCATCTTCAGAGGTTTTAAAGTTCGTTTCTGGGCAGCTTTTGCTGAAGTTGTCGTCAAATGAAGCAGAAGTCTGGGCCAGGCATGCTGATGATAGAACAGCCATCAGAGAAGCAGTGAAGAGGAGGTCAGCCGCCATTGATGAAGATGGCTTTCTCTCCATCCCCATTTTAGACCAATGGATTCGAGCTCTTGGGAGAAACAGAGAAGCTAGCTAGCTAGCTGGAGGTGAGAGTTACGTTCTTAAATGTAAGGGAAGATCCGAGCATTTTTCTTTCTAATAAATGGGTGGAATTAAGAATTTGGTTTAAATCTTTCCAAGGTATGGTCCCCAAATTAATCAATATGTGATCAGTTTTTTGCTCTAAATAGGATTAAAATGTTGCTTAAATTCCTAAATGGGACTAAGTATATTTCTATTCTCTAAATAAGACTATTGTACCAATTTACCCCTGCATTCATTTAATCATGCAGCACCCTACAGGTACTCTACCTGCTCATATCATACGACAAATCTGCAACAGGCTGGTAAGGGGGATTTCAATGTGGCAAACAGAGGCCAGCAACCTTCAGTGGCAGCGAGCAATAGCCAGCGGTAGAGAGCGGTGAAGGTGTGGCGGCGGCAAGTAGAAGGTGGTGAACGAGCGGCGGCGAGCGGCGGGACGAGCTGTAGTTCATATCTGATTGTGGACTTCAAGGTTGTATTTCTCCGTGCCTGTAATTGTTCTTCGTCTTCTTCAATCCTTCCTCTCTATTCCGTTTCTCTCTTCTCCCTCTTTGTCTGTCCATAATCACTCTTCATTTGGTTGAATTTTTAAAAAATGTCAAATTTTATTTAAAAATGTCAATAAAATGGCATTTTTACTTTTCTAAAATGCCAATAGAATGGCATTTTTACTCTTCTAAAATGTCATTTTTCTTTTGAAAATGCCATTAACATGGAATTTCATATTTATGTTGGCATTTGGAATAAAAATCTTGGCATAAGTGGTAGTGACTGCCAGATCTGCGGTGGAGGATGCTAGATCCGCAGACGAGGCAGCCGGATCTACGGCGACGGCGGCCGGATCTACGGCGACGGCGGCCGGATCTACGGCGACGGCGGCCGGATCTACGGCGACGGCGGCTTGATCTACGGCGACGGCGGCCGGATCTACGGCGGTGGTGGCCAAATCCACAGCAGCGACGGCGAGATATGACACTGAGGCATCGATATGTGCAGTGGCTGCGGTTCTGCGGTGGCTCCGACGACCGGCAACCAGTGACCGGCGGAGGTCGAGTATCCAGTTTTGCCAAGCTACGGGGTGTTTCTGTCCAAGTCCAGAAATTAACTCCTATTTGGGAACATTTTAAATTTTACTCCTATTTGACACTACTCGGTACCCGTCAAGTAAGAAGCCGAGACATTGTGGCACAGCAGACGAACTGGTTCACAAACTGGGTAACGTAATCCGAACAATATAGATCTGATGTGGATGGTCTCCTGAACGGTATAAGCAATAGCCCGATATTCGGCCTCAGTAGAAGACTTGGACACAGTAGATTGCTTTTTGGATTTCCAGGAGACAAGATTAGGACCCAAAAATCATTAGGGTATGAATAGGTAGATTAAGAATAGTGAAAGAGGATATGAATTATTGAGGATATGATGGGAAAATAGATGAATAATGTGATGAAATGTAGGCAGGGCCGGCTCTAGCGGTTTGGAGGCCCGAGGCGAAAAACGTTTAGTACCACCTCCGTGTCATAATATGTGACCGAGTATGTTTTTTCCATAATTTAAAGTTACAAGTTTTTAGGTACTGTAGTTGACTAGTTGTACTGTTTTCTTTTATTAAAAAGGCTTTTGGGATGATTTTTTTCCAAAAATAGAAGTTTGACACATATTTTAATACTAATACAATCCAAAAAATAAAGTGTGCCACTTATTTTGAACCATATCATATTAATGTGATTTATATAACACATACTCATAAAAATAAGATAAAATAGTAATTCAACATCCGCATTGTCATTGCCAACAATTTTGAGGAAGAAAAATTTGTCTATACAATCGATCAATAGAGTCGGTAAGCAATTTAATAACCACATCTCTTTTCAACTTATTGTTTCTCTTTACATATTAATGAGAAATTTTCTTTAACGCTTTACCATAATTCCTACATATTTAGCATATTTATAGATAATAATTAAAAAAGGAAAAATAAAGATAATGATTAATAGAAAAACCATTAACAAAAAATAAAAAATTACAATTCCAATTGCAATTATAAAATATTACTCCGTAGTAGCTAACTAACTAAACGCCCAATTGCAATTATTTTTTAAGTTATTAACCAAAAACTTTCAAAAAATGTTATCAGTTCGATAAAAAAGGAGCATATAATGATAAGAGTTTTGCTAGGTGTACACCTTTTGTGTACATGTACAAAATGTGTACACCAAACATTTTTCTAATGATAAAAGATAATACTCCATATGTGGCTAGTGGAGAGTAATAAGCCTCAAACGCAGACCGCACTATCAATTCATTATATAAGGTGATAAAGTTTAGGTTTGACCAAAGAGTTCTTCGTCAAACTCCAGAACCAATTTCAAACAACTAAATTTAAAACTTACTCCATAATAGCTTAATTAATTTTTGTGTTTGAGGCCCCAATAAAAAGTGAGGCCCTAGGCAAGTGCCTAGGTGAAATGGCCTCATGGTCGGCTCTGAATGTAGGATAAATCCAAAAAAAAAGTACTAGTAGTAGTAGTTGTAATAGTGTATTATTTTTAGAATTATTGATGGTATAATGAGAAGATTTAGAAATGAGAAGATTGTTTTTTTTACGGACGAAAAAGGAAAGTGAAAAGATTTTTTTGTTACAGAGGGAGTATGATTTATGAAAAAATCTGTACCCCAATTGGTATCCCAATTTGTAGCTCACCCTATTTTTGTGGCTCATAAAAGCACCCCATTAAAGTGGGACAATTAATTTATTGAGGTGGTCTTTTGTGAGCCACAAAAATAGGTTGGGGTACAAATTGAGGTACCAATTGGGGTACTATAGTAGGGTTGATGATTTATACTCCCTCCGGTTCACATTCTTCTTTACACTTTCCTTTTTGTCAGTACCACATTCTTCTTTACACTTCCTTATTTGCTTTATTTGGCAAACAAATCTACATAAAACAGTGCCAAACAGTGTCCAAACAGTGCCAAACAGTGTCCAAACGGTGCCAAACAGTGTCCAAACGGTGCCAAACAGTTTACTCTACAGTAAAGTCAAATTTATTTTCTTAAAACTTGTGAAGTCAAAGTGTCAAAGAGATTATGAACCGAAGGGAGTATATAGACAGTTCGTATACCGTGGTATCACCCCACGGTGAGCACCGTGCTCCCACACCCAAAACGACGTAGTTTTGCACAATTTTTAAAAAAAAAAATTCGCGTGAACAGTAACGCGTGAACAGTACACGCGTGTACAGTAACTATTTTTTTGTCCCAGTAGTATGAATGATGTAATTCTCGTGTAAGGATATGTAACTCATGTTATTGATCAATGTAACTCCAGTTCATTCGGAATGTAACTTATCAAATACATAGTATAAGAAATAATGAACAAGAAAAAGAGAGTTTAATTACACAATTACTTTATGTAAATCGTGAATATGTTTGGTTTTTAATATCATAGCCATACAAAAATGATTTTAAAAAACATTTTTTTTGTTTCCAAAGTAGGGGTTGATTTTTTGATGTAACTCAAGTCATTGCGAATGTAACTCGCTTTGATGGTAAATGTAACTTAGGTGTATACATAGTGTAACTTGTTGATGCAATTCCAAATGTAATTCACGTATCAGAAGATATAACTCACTCATAAGAAGATGTAACTCATGTACATGAAGATATAAAATCACACATAAAAAGATGTAACTCCGTGTATTACCAAATGTAATTCATGGTATGAGATTAGACATAGTATATTATAATCTTAATTATATGTATTAGAATTATTTACCTTAAATGTATTACTCGTAGAATATATAACATATAGTCCAATAATATGTATGTAGTTGAAAAGAATAACGATTGAATGTATTTTGGCCTTAAATAACAAATTAAAATTAATGTATACATCGAACAAGAAAAGAAGCTCCAGGCAGTCCTCACTCATGCAGCAGGCCATGGCAGATGATCCTCGCTCATCCACCCGCTATTTTATGCATCTCGCTACAGGCTGAGATCCTTAAACGGAGATAGCGATGAGCGATTCGAAAGTGGGAACTGATCGGAAGAGCCTCACCTTCTCTGAGAAATAAGAATGACGATTTGCTCCCTTTTTTAATTGTAAAACGATACCATATGGGGATCGGCACACCATGCTCATGGTGGGTCGATCCCACAGTATGATTTGCCGTATATAGAAGTGTGTTTGTGGATCCTGCCATTACAACTGTACTCTAATAAAATACTGATTCTATGAGTTCTTCAGCAGTTAGTTTACGCGCTTGTTTGGCAGTCATTCTTTATACTCGGTATAGTTTCATTTTATGAGTCCGTATTATTATGAGCCGTTTCGATCTCTAAGATTCATTGTTTCTGCTTAAATTATGATTGTAATAATGCATTTTATTTAATCTTTTGAATCATACAAAATTACAAAGTTGTTATAAAATATTCCATTAGCAAAACAATTGTTCGACGGTTCGACCTATTTTAATTACTACATAATTTAGGGCATAAAATAAAATATTAGCGATTGATAAAAAGAGCTAATAAAATTGATCACCCAAAGAGTTACCAAATGGGCAGACTTATGTTACTTGGTCTATTCATAAATAAGAAATTATCCTAAATGGGACTAAAACATGGTTAAAACTCCAAAATAGGACTTTATGTTTTAAATTGCTAAAATAGGACTCCAGATTACCTTCTTACCCCTAATCCCAAAATCACGTTTCCCCGATCCCTTTGTCATCGATCCTGCACCTGCGATTCAGCCTTCC